CGGGTGGGGGGGGGGGGAGTCAAATTCGATCCCGAGTTTAGTACAAGGTGCGACAGCTCATTTTATTGCAAAGTGACACACAGTTATTACAAAGTTCGACAGACTTTATTACAAACTGCGACCCTGAAGACCTCCACGTATAGGAGCCTATGCCAAATATGTCTTGCTTTCTTTGTGAGAATGTAGCTGTATGTGAAGTATTGTTTCCTGAATTGGGTTTCTCCCCACAAAGTAAAACTACATATTTTCTTCTATCATATTGACCTTGATTCTTATGTTTACTGCTCATTGATGACCTTCACGTTTAGGCCTATTTCAAATATAGTTACATGCTCAGGCGTCCACACTTTGAGAGCTCTAACTTTCTTTTGGCGCAGGCAATTGGATAGGACCAGGAAATATGACAACTCCCTGGTAGGACTATAGGAGTATTCCCAAGCTAAAAATGAACTTACAGGTATAATCGTAACAAAAGCGCAGTAATTTATATTTATTAGTCATACAAAGTTTGTTTAACTTAATAGTTTTGCAAACAATCAGTATTTTCCTGAAATCTGACAGGATTTGAACCCAGGCCCCTGGGATTGGAAAGTGAGCATCTTAACCACCAAGCTATTAAACTCCACTACATCCTCATCATCAGCAATGTCATTGATGTCATCACAACTTTGTCATCATTGCCATTTAAAAACTTGCTTTGTATGGATGCCAAATAAAAACAATCATTTCTCTTCTATCTCATATTTTTATTCAGGAAAACTTGAATCTATTGAGATATACAGTGTCATAAATTACACTTACTGTACTTTATCTAAGCAAAGTTGCTTTATATTATCTTTTCAAAGCTTGAATTCTAGATTCATGATGAAGTAATAAATAACAGAACTTATAGTCCCTTTATAGAACATATCACTAATAAATTCCTCAAGAATAAAGTACAAAGTAACATCATCCTGAAATGAAAAAAAAAAAATCTTGTGCAAAATAGATCCCCATGTATACATAGAGTTAGATATATATGAGTTGTCTTTGTGTTTGGTATAATTTAAATTTTCCATACTTCAAAATAAGTTTAAATGTTCAAATAAAACTGGAAGGAAAGCGTCTTTTTATTTTTAAGACAGTTTAACATATGTTTTGTTTTAATGTTTTTAAATGATTTACATGGTAAACAGCAAGGTTAAACAAAAAAATTAATATTGGCAAATAAAAATTCCAAAATTATATTTAAAAAAACAGTAATAATGTTTTTATTTAAAAATATTTATACCAATAGACAGCTTACAAGTTTGCTGTTAATTCAGATAATAAATAAAATTGAAATATTGCTAATTTATCCTATAAACTTGTTTAAAACTTATAAGTAAATTAAAATAGGTTGAATCATAGCCTGATGCTGTGTAGGGGAAACATTTGCTCACAAGATATGAGCACCTTGACCAAATAGGAGCTAAGGAATCTCAATGTATATTTCAGATGTCTGCCCGCTATGGTAGTGGACTGCTGGAACACCCCTCTATGGTACTGGGTTGGCAGGCAAGACCTTTCCGGAACATTCACCAAATCCTACTCTGAAGCCATCTCCTTGACAGTACCCTACAAAGAAAGAAATACTTTAATATGCACCTCAAAAAAAATGAACATATAAATTACATGTGTATTTTATTATTATTATTATTATTATTATTATTATTATTATTATTATCATTATTTTTATTAATACTAATAATAATAAGAAAGTTGAATAAATATAATAATATAATATATAGAATAACAATAATAATAATACTAATAATAATAATAAAAATAATAATGGAATTTATCAAGCATCAATTAAACAACTGTACCAAGGTGCATTATCAAGAGTGCCGTGCAAGTTAATGATGGAAAATTCAAGTTGAACAAACACAGTAGCAGTGATATTTAGTCTTACCATACATAAGTATTATTTTTAGCTGAACTGACTGTCAGACTTATTTTTTCTTTATCTTTATAAGGAAATAACTTTCATTTATATTGAAACTGTATCGTGGCAAATGAAAACACCCAACATTTTAAGTGCCTTCAAGAATAAATAACCAACTGGTTCCAATGATAGTAACTGGTCTGATAGCACTTGTAACATAGAGTAAGTCCACCTCCCATAGGCCTAATACTGTTTCAACATAAAAAAAAACATCATGGTCTTTTCCTATGATAGTGTTTCAACATTTTAAAAATTTGATTAAATGATCATTAGAAATATATAAATTTAATAATTATTAGAGTTATTTATAGTAATTATCAATATTATAATTGTAAATTTTTGACATTTTGAAAGATGTGACAACACAACATAATTAAGTGTAATGACTGTAGAGTTCTATGCTTGCACAACACAACATTATTAAGTGTAATGACTGTAGAGTTCTATGCTTGCGCAATCTAAACAAATTAACAGGTATTGCCTAACAAAGAAATTCTAGTTCAATAATGTATTAAGATATTATTATGTACTGTAATATTTTAATGAGAGATATTTGTGTAAATAATGGGTTTTTTTTCCAGGCAATATAAATGGCTACCTGAATCTATATTTAGTACACTATCACTTACCAGACAAAATCACTTCATCGTTATCCTTCAGGAATTTCCTGGTGACACCATTGCCAAGATCAACCTCTCTTGTTCCTTTCCATGACAGCTCCAGCATGCATCCCAAGGAAGTTTGTTCCTATGGATAGAATTGTTGTATATAAGTAACAGAGAGAATTATATTAAAAAATGATTGGTTAAACATCCCTAGATCAAATGTCATACATATATTTATGCTTGTATATGGCACACTTTTGGATGTTGGATTAAAATGAAATGTTTTACTAACATTTGAAAAAAATGTTGGATTAAAATGAAATGTTTTAATAACATTTGAAAATGAGAGCCTTTTTTAGGGTACATTTAATTTGACTTGGTTACCTTTGCATTTGAATTTGAGACCACCTTGTTTGCTCCATCACCTGGAGAAACAAACAAAATCAACGTCACAAAAATATAGTGTATCTATTTTATTCTATCTTTTTTATTTATTTATTAGACTTCACACTGCCACTGCAAATTAGGACAGGATGGTCGCTAGTGATGGAGAGGGCAAACAGGTGCAGAGAATCTCTAATAAAACAGCCCAACACATATTAATGCACTCTCCATACTATAACTAGAGTAAAAAAAAATACAACAATGTTCACAATATAAATAGATACACCTGAAGTATGGAAAATTTTAACTGAAAGGAGAAGCTGTTGTGAGCAAGGTTTTTTGTCCAGCTTGTATTGTTAATTCAGATTGGCTGTTAAGTGCAATTGTCTAGGCCTACAACTTATGCCTCAATATTTGTCAGGTAGCTACAATAAGAAACATGCACCAAAGTTTAAATATTAATCTTTAAAATTAAAAAAATTAATCCTCTAGACTGAAGGTTAAGCCAAAGGTGAAGTGCTTTGGTGTTAAGAGTAAGAGAAAAGGATTTTCTTACACTCTGTTTGACATTGTGGTATATTTGAAGCTACACTACTAACATTCATTTGCATAGTCAGAATATTCATTACCTTTAAGAGTTACCGATAGGTTGATGTCAAAATTGTAGTCATCTTCATGGAAGAGATAAGGAAGAGGCTTTGGATCCTGGAAGGGCAAGTGTTTTAAAGTTACATTGAAAGTAAACAATCAGCTCAAAACAATAATAATAATAAGTAATAATCATTAGAATAATATTAACAACAATTGTAGCCACAAAGTAAGTTTTTTTTTTTTATAATGCTGGTACACTACCCTACTAAAAACAAAGACTAAAATGTACCAGTTGATGACCAGACCAGTGTACCAGTTGATGACCAGACTAGTTTACCCATTGATAACCAAACATGTACACATTTTGACTACCTGACTAGACGAGTTGATGACCAGACTACCTAATAAGTTTACCCATTGATAACCAAACATGTACACATGTTGACTACCTGACTAGATGAGTTGATGACCTGACTAGTTTACCTAATAAGTTTAGACATTGATAACAGGACACATTACACATGTTGACTACCATACTAGTATACTAGTTGATAACCAGACTAGTTTACCCATTGATAACCAAACATGTACACATGTTGACTACCTGACCAAACGAGTTTACCTAATAAGTTTAGACATTGATAACAGGACACATTACACATGTTGACTACCATACTAGTATACTAGTTGATAACCAGACTAGTATAGCCAGTTGACGACCAGACTGGTTTACTCAGCGAGTTTACCCATTGGTAACCAGACATGTACACATGTTATCTACATGACTAGACCAGTTGATAACCAGACTAGTGTAGCCAGTACCAGACTGGTTTACCTAGTGAGTTTACCCATTGATGACCAGACACATACACATGTTGGTGAACAGACTAGAGTACCAGATGACTAACAGACTAGTGTACCAGCTGATGACCATATTAGTTTACTGACTAAACTAGTTTATTCATGATGACTAGGCATCTACAGATGTCCAGGCATGTATATTTACTGATGATCTGATACGTGTTCCCATTCATGATAAAATGTTTAACCATTGATGACCACACATCTGTACCCATTACTGACCGAATGAGTGTACCTGCTGATGATCTTGTCTGTCTACTGATACTACAGTAGGCACCCTTCACATACTAATCAACTTCATACACTCTCTGTCCCCACTGATGCCTGATCAAATTTAATAAATATGTTTACCAGGTTAGACTATCCAATTTACAGATATTTACAACAAATTTTATCATTTAACAAAAAGGAATGACACCATGGAAGCAGATCAAGCAAATGTCAAATGGCAAAACTTCCCAATAACACATAAAAGTTGAAGATTAGATAATAAGTCATTTTTGCGATTGGTCTCTTTCACACAGGCCAATTTTAAAAGTGTCATACTTTGTTGTCCTTTTTAATTGCTGTCACCGGTGAAAATTACAAACAGTTAATGATTGAAAGAGCTTTCAGATGATGATGATGATGATGATGACAAGATGACAACTTTCAGAGTGATAGCCATTAAACAGGATACAACCAAGATTACCTGACAGACTCCATTCGTTAAGTAAGAGGTGAACTACAGTTGTTGAAAATAAACTAAATCAGTTGAAGCACTTCGTAAATACAAATCATACACATGATCTTAACAAGAGCATGTATAAGACAACTTAAAGGGGCAGTTTTCAATTGTCATATGCGTATGCTGGTAATATATGGCACATTTAATAATATCCCATTCAGACTAGCATCGCATTGCGATCGGTTGTAGCAATTGCGACACCCAATTGCACCCAATTGCAAAGTAAAATCGTGTGTGAAAGCTCACTAATAGTAGTCGATATGTAATCAATATCGCAATTGTTACCTGTTGCGATTGGGTGCTACAATCTTTATTACTCCCGATTACCACAGAATTTGATCGCAACGAATTCCACAGGCACTTTTTGGCTGAGGTCAGGCAACATAGGGCTAGCCACCGGAGGCCTAGGCCCTAGAATGTAAAGTTTGTTTGTGTTGGTCTGAATGCGTTCGTTGATTGCGATTTGGAGTAATCAGTTTTGGATTACCACCGATTACATCGCAAAAGATCACGAGAGCGTAGTCTGAATAGGGTATAGTACAAAAGTTTAATTAGCATTATAACTTAATCAGAGATTTACAATCAGTTTGTGTCTTAGGGATTATTGAGGAAACATGCACAAGTTATTCTTTCAAACTTTCCATAATAATAATTGCCTTATTTGGCTGTAAAATTAACATAAAATTACCTGTGGCTCATTAGCAACTGTGTAAGGAGCAAGTGCTTCCATGGTAACGACCCAGGGAGAGATGCTGGTGCCAAAGTTCTTAGCTAAGAACGGCCCAAGAGGCACATATTCCCACTTCTGAATGTCACGAGCTAAAAAGAAACGCATGAAGAAAACATTCCTAGAAATTTGTATTATAGTATTATGATTGTTATTATTATTATTATTATTATTATTATCTATCAACATCCTTACAAGCATACTAATCATCATCATTGTCATCATTACCTTCATCATTCAATACTATTTTCTCAACTAGCCACACAACCAACATCATTTTCAACAAAAACTGCTGTCCTTGTTGTCAACACCATCACTATTTCTTTTTCTGTGTATTCTGTCAATTATTATCATTATTACACAAATAAACATTTTAAGAAACTTACCACTCCAATCATTCATGATCACACAACCAAATATATGATCCTGTGCTTTATCAATGCTTATTGGCTCTCCCAACTTATTACCAGGTCCTGTAAAGAATGCCTAAACAGACAGTAAAATTATTATTGATACAATCAAATTAAAAAATGTTTTAAAAACTTTGATCATTCATTTTGAGGTAGAGCATGTCAGGCCAAACATGGATACTTAATTAGACCTAGTTACAGTTTTTTTTCAACAGTAGAGTAGATAAACATATATTTTTTCATGAAGAAATAAAGGTTTTGATTGACTGATTGATTGATTGATGTAATACCTCACAGATTCTGAAATGGTGATTTGATGAGGTTTATTATACAGCACTTAATTTTAGATATTACCACCACAAATATGGGTATTTTGAACATTGTAATTAACAGCAAAATATAAACATGCACCTCAGAAAAAGAGAGATTTATCACAGGTACAGTGGCGTAGAAAAATATTTTTCATTGGGGTGGATGATTGGCGTGTTATCCAGTGTCGTAACAGGCGGGGAAGGGGGGGCAGGGGGAAAACTGCCCCTCCCCTGACGGTTTTTACCGGGCTGACCAAGCCGTCGTACCAGGCTGGGTAATAAGAGAAAAGAAAGAGGGGAGATGGAGGGAAAGAGAAAGAAGAGGAAAGAAAACGAGAAGAGAAAAATAAAGACAAGAATAAAAAGGAAGTTAACATAATGACCAGGCTCACAACACCCTGCAACCCCTTCTCCACTACAAAAACTGTCATAACTCCTTTGATCTATGCTGCCCGATGGCGTAACCACTGGGGGACAAGGGGAAAATATCTATCTTTGAAAAATCTTCCCCACCCCTTTATAAATGCCCTTTTATCCACTGAAAGTGCCTAAAAACCTCAAATTTCGCGCGCATTTCTTGTTAACATGGCCCAATTTCCTCTAAAAATTGCACATTTTAGGGAGTTTTGATCAATTCCAACGAAATAGAATTAAAAACATCGGGGGACAAGGGGAAAATGTCCATCTTTGGAAAATCTTTCCCCACCCATTGACAAATGCATCCTCTGAAAGTGCCTAAAATTCTCAAATTCTCTGCACGCATTTCTTGTAATGGTAGGCCAATTTCCTCTATAAATTGCACATTTTCATCAACTCCGACGAAATTAGAATTAAAAACACAAAAATATTTTGCGCGCTTGTCCTACTGGGCTAAACTAGAATGGTTACCCTCTTTAAAGATGGTTGAAATAAAAAATATAAAAAATAAATACCCACTCTGACCCGAGACCCCTGTTACGCACCTGGTGTTAGCGCCAATGTGTGCCCTTGTGCGGACAGGGGATGTGCCCCCCTCTGAAGCTGGAAACCTTGTTTTTGCAAAATAAATTGATGCAATTTGCTACTATAGGCCTAATCAATAAATTCCTCATCAACCGATATAACCTTAAACATTCTTGGAATTGACATAACATTACTGATGTCGTACACACCCTTCAGTGTGAAATGTGGCTCTCTTTGCAAGTACATCTAACATGTAAGGAAAGAAGAGCTTAGATTGGTACCGGTACCAGATAAAATAATTTTGTTATCAACATTAATACATTATGCTAATTTTCATCTTTGTAAGCGCATAAGACAGTGCAAATTATTTCTGTGACAGTCTTTTGAAGTGTGGAAAGCTCCATTTTATCCCATACATAGTCAAAATATTGGGGGGGATGATACAATGGACCATCCCCCCCTTGTCAAATATTGGGGGGATATATCCCCCCTATCCCCTCAGGGACCTACGCCTATGCACAGCTACCATACTGTATGTATAATAAAGCTTACAAACTGAATTATCTTAATAAAAACAAATGATAACCACTTTACCATTTCTAGCTCAAAATCCATCAGTTTGCAAGCACCCAAAGCAGGAGGCTCTACAATAAACAAACAAGCAAAAATAATATCTTTATTATATTCATATAATTTACCACACTAACGATGAATGAAAATGTTATCAAACCACTGTGCAATCTGGTATATTTTGCAAATGATCATCATTTGTTATCTTCATTATTCTTTGAAAATCTTTAATGAGTTATGAGCCCAGAAGCACAGTATCTCCCTCCCAGCATTTTAACTGTCTCTATCTGTGATTGGATTGTTTTCACTTACTGTCCTCAGGTTTCAGCTGTCCACATGGCCTCTTGATAGGAGTTCCCGAAATTACAACCGATGACGCGCGACCATGGTAACCAACAGGAAGATGCTTCCTTCAATGAGAATTCAAAATACATTCATCAAATTTAATAAAATAAACATTTTTAAACATACTTATATTTTTCACATCCAAGAGCAAGCAAAGCACTCAACAGTGGAATGAATGAAATAGAATTGAAAAAAAAAGTTGCATTAACATTGTAAAACAATTCATTATACTAAAGTCTTTATATTTGTTATTTTATGTTGCGAGACAAATAAATGAAAGTTATGAGGCAAGGAGGAGTTGAATTCCATATGATTGGAAGGGAAACTTCCTAATCACCAAGCTACTCCACTATATTTAGTATTAATTTTTTAAGCTACTCCACTATATTTAGTATTAATTGTTTAAGCTACTCAACTATGTTTAGTATTAATTTTTGATTTGGTTTTGTATCATACTTCTTTTTATGTACTGAGGTTGCAAATGATCAGCTTTGGCTCCAATTACATAATCACACTGTCTATCTCCACCAAAAAACATAAGTTGGTATGTTTCAAAACACTGATAAATCATAAATAAAAATTTAAATTTGCTATTTAAGAGGCGCATCCTTACCAGTTTGGCTGCAGGGCATTGTCCTTGCCTCGGAACATTGTGCCGACATTCGTGGCATGATAACATGATGAGTAGAAGTCAGTGTAGTCACCAATTCTAGCTGGCATATGCATTGTAGCTTTGTCTTGATCCACAAATGCTCTGAAAGTCAAACATAAATTACGAGTATTTTTGATGATGTTTGTTAGAAAAAGCAAGTAAATGGATCTTCATAAAATTTATTGGAGAGGTACAAATGGGAGTGAGGAAAAATGATTACATTTTTGGTTGGTTTAAAGGTCAAGATCAAAGAAAGTGATTGTAAAGTAAAATCAATACGAGTACACAAACTACAACTTTTTTTAGAGATATTATGAAGCACTTTTAATACCATTTTCTTTTTTATTTTTCCTCTTCCTCCTTTTGATTTCTTTCTTCTGTCTTTTTTTGGGGGACTCTATATCCCCCATACCCCTGGATTCAACTTAGTGCTTTATGAGCAAACTAAATCTTGGTGAGAAAGGCTCAATTCGAACTCACCAGTAGTTTGGCGCATGTGCCCAATATTCCAACTTAAAAAATTTTGCAGGCATGAGACTTTTTGAAAATTCCACCCCCCCCCCCCCCCCCCCCCCAAACCCACTTTTTAATGGGAATCGAGGCTCTCCCACACCTGGAAATTTTATTTCCTGAAACTTTTTGAAAATGTCATGATCTACTTTTTTCCCTTTTAATTGAGAATACGTGCATTTCATGTGGGAGATAAGCCCAGCTCAACACTAAAACCGGCTTAACCTTGCCAGGCGTTTAGACTAACGGGATTAGCCAGGCACGAGAATTTTCATAATAATGAAACGTAACCAGCAAACGTGTTTCAAAACATTGCTCGCGGAACGTACGCTTGCTCACAGCGTAAGTAATTGAATGCTGATTGGTCACTTTGTTACCTGAAGTCAATGCAAGACCCCCGCAACCATTTAAGCCCGGCTTAGAAAAGTTAAACACGGTGGCACGCCAGACCTAGTTACTATAGGAACACAGCCCAGCTTGAGATAAGCCACCTAGTTCAGACTGTCGGGAGGATAAACCCGGTGAGTTGAGCCGGGATTATCCACCTAGTCTGAACTAGGCCTAAGACACATATAAAGTACAAACAGACACCATACGGTACATACCACGTCTCAGCGCATTCAGCATGGTATGTATGGTGTGTGAGACTTGGTATGTATGATACCATTGGTAAACTCTAAATAATAAGAGTGGATTTTAAGGGTGGAAAAGTGGGTTAATGGAAGGCCATGAAATTAGCGTTAGACTGGGTGTAAAACTTCAAGGTTTGGTGGCCCTACCCACACAACTACATCCCTTGTGTATTTAAGCATGGACCTATTAATGAACTAGGCCTAAGACACATATAAAGTACAAACAGACACCATACGGTACATACCACGTCTCAGCGCATTCAGCATGGTATGTATGGTGTGTGAGACTTGGTATGTATGATACCATTGGTAAACTCTAAATAATAAGAGTGGATTTTAAGGGTGGAAAAGTGGGTTAATGGAAGGCCATGAAATTAGCGTTAGACTGGGTGTAAAACTTCAAGGTTTGGTGGCCCTACCCACACAACTACATCCCTTGTGTATTTAAGCATGGACCTATTAATGGACTTATTAATAGGTCCATGGTTTAAGTATGTATACTTTATATGTGTCTTCTCACTCACTGTACAGAACTCACTGGGATCTTAGCAGATAAATGCTTTGCGAGTGGCTCAAATTAAACTAAATCAGTCTATAAGTAGTATATGCAATCTGTGTTTGTTTTCTCATGTACAATATTCACTTTTTTGATAGGCTGACTCACTGGGTTCTTAAGCTGGCGTTGTCTCTAAGAGTTGCGTCATCAGTAGACAACAGTTTGGTGAGAGTAACTCTTGCTTCTTGCCATGCTGGTTTGCCCAGAGCCATGAAGGAATTCAAGGTTGCCTAATAAATCGTTAACATGAGACAAGAACTGGTATAAGGCTTGGTATAAAGAGGTTTATAGTTTCTTTTCGTTATAACCACACATCTTAACGAATACATAATATACCTTTATTTATTATGTAATGTTTTAACTGTGCAGTTTATTTTAAAGCACTCTATAATGACTGCAATTTTTATGAGATATCTGAACTTACCTCTGCGAACACATGGTTACATTCAGACAGAATTGGCCCGTTGAAAAGATCCTTGATGACACTTAAGTCAAGAATCTTGTTGCCAATAGCAACACCGATACGATGCTGAGCCTAAAAAGACAGGAAAAAATAGTTAATTTGCTTTTCACTTCAGAGTTTCTTCTGATTCAATAAACTGAACTGAGACTAAGTGGGTTACCAGGAAAATCTAAAATGGACCACTCATCAAAATTACATTTCTTACAAAAATATCTAAATCTATTAGCATAATAAATTAATTAAAATTGTTCTTTCCATTAAACATTTTAACTTCATTTTATAACACCCTTGTGCTCCCATACCTTCAATACTGTAACATAATTTGGGCATCTGATTATCGTTCTAATCTTAACAACCTTCTGAAACTACAAAAACGCGCTTTAAGGGTCATCACTAATTCACACTACTTAGCACCTTCAGAGCCACTTTTTAAAAAACTTCAACTACTCAAAATTTATGATTTGCATAAATTGCAAATTGCAAAATTAATGTATGAGCTACTTAAAGGCACACTTCCAAAAACCATTAACCTAATGTTCAGTAGCAACAACTATACCACTCAATATAATTTAAGAAATACTGGCAGGCTATACATTCCATTTGTAAGGCTCAATAAAAGTCAATTGTTTGTGACGGTTGCAGGACCATGGTTGTGGAATAACCTCCAAATTGACCCTACCAATTTTACTAGCCTTTCATCTTTTAAAAGAAATCTAAAATTACATTATCTAAGTCTGTACTTAAACTGAATTCTGTTCATTTCCGTACATCCTATTTATTTATCTTGTTTATCTATTTATTTATTTATTTATTTAAATATCTTATTCATTTATTGACCAAAATTTATTTTATTCTTTTTCCTTTTTTACGGATCCTCTCGAGACAAGGTTTTTTTTTCCTTCTAGACTGGGATCCTTACAACAGCTTATACTTTTATGTATGATATATATATATTTTTTTTTTCTCAATATTTATGTATTAATCTGTGCTGTTGTAGAATAAAAGGTGCTTGCACCACTGAAAGAAAAGAAAGAAAGATATTACTGCATAATTATTAATGTCTTATAATGTTTCATCAAAATTTGACACATTGGCTGCCAGTATATTAAATACACACTCATAATCCATTGCTGCATACACCAATAAATATGTGTAGAATCATAGATAATGTAAGATTGCTGTATCAGTTAATTAAATATGCTGGCTGCTCAATGAGATTAACAAGCACTTGTCTGTGTGGGCAAGGTTACAGTTCTTTTTTTCTCATCCATAATTCTAAGTATAGCAGCACAATTTTTTTTAATGAGAAAACATATATTTGTTTGTCCACAAATCACACTATTTGCAGGGCAACTATAAACTTCAAAAATCATAATTCAATTATTATTTTACATACAATAAGGGCCAAATTTCCTCTTCTAAAATTATTTTTCAAAGTAATTACTTCAAGACATAATTGAAAATTAGAAGAACAAGGTAAAGATCACCCTGATTAATTATTAGCACTCATGAACTAAATTAAAATATTGCAACCAATAGAAGAATTCATGAAACTAAAACAACGAAAAATAACAATATTTTTAGTAAAAACTACATTGCCGCAACTGCCAGCAAATTGTTTAGACTATTTATTATACCAGGAGTTTTCAAATGGAGTCTGCAAATATCCATACATAACAAAGGATTCAGAAATATTAACCAGCATCATTAGAATATTTGATCATTTCAATTGTAATGCATACATTTCAAATATTACTATAATGAAAGAGACCTGCCTGGCTTCTCTATTTTTAAATAAATCTCATAAATTAAGATAAACGTTGAATGTATTTGCTATTATGCTAAATAACAAAAATCGGAGATACATTATTATTATTAGTCAATGAAAACAAATAAAATGGGTAGCACCTTGTTAATTAAATTTATTTGAGACTGCTTTCACTTGATCAAACGAGCTAGCCTAGTAGGCCTATGCCTAGACCTAGAAGCGGAGGATCCCTCCCTAGCTAGGCCTATTCATTTTTTTTTACAAAAGAATAAATTAATTCATTACTTTGTTTATTATAATGATACAAAATTTCTTTTAGATTATAATATATTGTATCTTCGCCTTGCATTATTATTAATATTAGTAAAGCCTAGGCCTAGGCCGGATGGATGTATACTGTATGTAAATTCATCAATGAAAACGTCTGAACAAAGCCACACCTCCACAGCAGGCCAATCAAAATGCGTGTTGTATCTATCTAAATCTAGGCCCGGGCCAACTAGGAGGTCACAACTTCATCCATCATGCTACCACCGACATCACTTGCAGAAAGGCCTAGCTCAAAATCAAATATACTTACATTATCTGCTGTAGAAAAAACGCCGTATGGTAGATTTTGGATTGGGAAATGGCAGTCCTTGTCGTATACGATGAATGACATGTTTCCGAGTTTAAAAGTATGAAATTATAAAAAGACGAGTAGCAAATTACTAAACTGGCTTTCCGTACCAAGCATGCACAGACCCAAAGAGATATATCGACGATGTCAGCGTGTATTATAGCGCCCTCTAGCTTGAAAATAGTACGGGTACGTAGTGGTGACGGAACTGGTGCCCATTGAACGCTTACCGTAGTGGTGGTGGTGTGTCGGTGTGGGCGCGGTCTCCAAACTAAATGTAAGATCGTATCAATTAATCTTGTCTTTCTTTATAATAAAATAAGATCGTCTATATTTTTATTATTTTGTTAAGATCAGAAAATAAAGTTGAATCAGGGAGTTGTTATAGTGACTATAACAACTCCCTGGTTGAATTAACAATTTAACTATGTATTTCTATTTTATGAAATAAAACTGTCCAGAAATCGATTAAAGGCTGAAGGTAAAGTTCGGAATTTCCTGTTCATGATGGAGAGGGTATGATGGAATAGGGATTTTCAGGGAACAGCAAAAGTCATCTATAGTGTCTTTTCACACGTAGTCTACGATACGATACGATTTACTGGGTTCACTTTCAGATCAGTGGCATCCATCAATTTGATGGTGCACCCAAGAACAATATAAAATACACTTACACTTACAGGTTAATGGGTTTTAATATAGGCAAAGCCTTTTATACCCATTGCCAATGCCTATAAAACCAATTTGGTCGGAGGACGATTTCCTTGCCTAGTCCAAAGGACATCAATATATGTTTTTGAAAAGACGGAACTGAGGTGGCTTCCACTATATCTAATTTAGGCCTATTCCAAGTGTCTATGATTCGGGATATGGGAGTAAAAAATGCTTCCTAATGTTTAAGTTCTTGTGAAGGCGTTTTTTATAAATTTTAAATTTATGCCCACGCGTTCTATCTTCCTGCGCCAATACAAAAAGATTTCTATAATCTTATCGCGACCAGTCATATTAAAAAGTTCAATGGGATCACCTCTAATCCGTCTCAATTCAAGAGGATATAGATCAAGTTCTTTCAAACGTTGTTCATATGACATGCACTTAATGCAAATATAAACAAAGGAAAGAAAAAAGAGTTCAAAAACAACAAACACAAAAAAAGAAAAAAAAACCGTTTAAAATAATATAACAAAAACCAAAATCAAGCAATTTACAGTAATGTTTTACCCTTGTTTGCATATCTCACAAATTGTTACTATCATAAGTAATTAAAATTAATACACTGAGCTGCACAAAAACCTGTACATAGTAGTCATGTAAAATGAACGTCAATCCCAGCCCCCCCCCCCCCCCCCGGGACGCCCCCCCCCCCCGCCACGGACCAGGGCAGAATCAAAGTCAAATTCAGTTGATGTTCTATAAGATAGTTTAGTTTTCAACCAACATCTCTCACCAACCAAAAAAACGATGAGTATTTTACAGTTTCGGATTTCAGATATTATTCTCCTGAAGACGATTGAAGCAACTCAATTGAAACGTCGGGCACCGAGTGACTCATTAGTGTTCAATCCGATCCCAAAACTGCAAATGCACATTGTTTGCGTCGGAAAATATAGGAGTGATGTTTTGCCCTAGGCCTATGACATGTTATCGTACTGAATACTCAGTCGTTATTTTTCGCAAGCGATTCGGGTAGCAATCGAACCCACGACCTCCACAACTGGATTTTCGATAGGGAGGTGCGTTTTGCGAGCGATGCGGACCTTTCGCTGGGGAGCCTAGGCTCCCGCGGGTTTGGGGGAAAAAGTCATGGAAGCATTATTTTTTTCCCCATAAACTTAAGGCAGAAATTACAGAGACAAATCTTTCTCATCAACATAAATTCCGTGCAAATAGGCTCAGGTGTCATAAAGCCGGTACATTTAGCAATTAACCTGGGAGTCATTTTCGATTAACATTACTTTTAGTTAAGAAAATTCAACCATATAAGGAAATGTATCTCTGAGGACCTGTGTGCTAGTAGTGCTAGACTTGCCACAAGTCCCTTATTTTTTATTATTTTTCTCATTCTGAACAGCGCCACCAACGTGAAAGTTAATTTAGAGACGGAATAAGAAAAAAAATCTAGTATGGGACGCCAATTAAATTAGGTATGGCGCGCACTAAGTGCAATAAAGAGTAAGTAACCCAAAATAAAGGCCTGGAACCCAGGCTATAGTAGTGCATGCTGTGTTATTAGCCAAACTTGATTATGGAAATTCACTTGAATGGTCTCCCAAAGTATACATATTCCCAAAGTATACATACACCCATTGCAAAGAGTTCAAAATACGGCGGCTGCCAGAATTGTGTCTCGCACTAGGAAATATGAACATCAGTATCTCACAGTATTAAGAAAACAGCATTGGTTGCCAGTATTGCCAGAATCAGGCTACAAAGCATTAAATAGCACATCACCATCTTATATCATAGACATTTTGCAATACCGTTCTTCATCTCGCACACTCCGTTCTCCCTGGTTCTACCATAAATGAACTTTTACTTAATGCTCCAAACACATTGGAGTCATTTGGAAAACGTTCATTTTTTACATGTGCAGCACCTCGTTTATGGAACGCTTTTCCTCATGATATCAAGACGTTAAAAAGAACTAACAACCCTGCTGTTTGAGCGCGCCATTGAACATATTATATGGATACTCGGTGCTATTAGTTTTGTGATTGATTGAACACTACCGTATAGAGTAGGCCGAAATCTGTTAAATAGGTCTTGGTAGTTAAGACAATGTGAAAATTAATATATTAATTAATTAATTAATTAATTAATTATTAATTAATAGACTATAATTGTAATAATATCCCCCTATAAGACTGACACAGTTTATGTACAGCGTGGTCTTTCAAAGTATAAAAAAGTACAGTAATATTGAATCTATTTGAGTAGGCTTACAGTATAGTATCCTAGATATGATGTGTTGTAGCAATTGCATTTCATCTATAAGGCCAAAAATAAAAAGTATGTCGTGCTGCAAGAATTATAAATACTGTTTCAAACCTTCGGTGGATTGAACGAGGACTATGAAAACCATAAATGTATTACCGAAAAATGCTTGGCTTGCATCTGATGACAAAGTGGAATAATGAATTGATTAACAAGTAGCTCGTCCCGTATACCAGTTACGATCCAGAAATTCGGAATAGAGAGGGAGGTATTTTCACAGATGGACGGTCCAGACGACCTCAGCCACATCCGTGGTTGGGACTGAGGTGAAATTTTATAATTATGGCTCCTCTATATACTGAATTTTAATATCATTTTCTTCAGTCTTTTCTTCATTTTTTCCTTAATGATTTTGAAAAAAAATAGGTGTCTTTGAATCTGCCATGTATACCCGCTTTTTTTTCTTTTGTTATTATTATTGTTATTATTTTCAACCGAATAGGGATCTTCTTCATAGCATTTACAATAAGAGGATTTTTGTTTATATTGTAGTACTGACCCTCATATGAAGGGTGGTAATAAATCTGCCACTATAGTTCTGAATACAGCTTCAGAACAGTTAATTTTTTTTTATTTGGTTGTTTCTGATTTGAATTTGTAAATCATTTAAAATAGTGACTCAAAAAGTTCGGCAAGTTAATCAAATCGAAACCTTTATTAAATTATTCATTCTAGTTTTGAAGCATATCGGTATTAATTTAATCATTGATGCATAACTTTGTAGGGATAAAACGTTAAAAAATAAGAAATGCATTGCACACGACACAAACGCATTTGGCAAATACACAGAATTTTAAATCTGCTACTTATAAACTAAAATGAATTGAATATAGAGAGATGTACGGTAGTCTGCCTTTATGGAATATGAATGTAATTTGTTACTGGTACCTTTATTAACATACTTTACTGATACTCTGAAGATTTGGATGTTAACTATGAACACATTAAGGTATAAACTGAAAGATAAGTGATTGGGTGTAATTTGTAACGAAGCGAAAAGCATAATTGATCATCTTTTACAATACATTATCTATTCAATATCTCCAATAGTGTAATATCATATGGGCATGACTTAAATATATATTTTAAAAAAATGTGTGAGTGAATATAGGCATGTTTACAAACAGTTACCAATATTAATGTCTTGTTTCAGTATAACAAACATTTCCATGAACCGTAATGAAACATTCATATACCATTTGCCTCTAAAAGCCATTTTTTAATAAACTACATATTAGGCCTATGTGTAATACAATTTTTTTTTTAAAGGCCCTATTTTATTTTATTTTGTTTAACTTAATTTTTCGATGGCTGCTCTCCCAGCAAAGTTGATCATTGATGCCTTCATGACAACAAAAATACAGCAATGACAATCACACTACATAAACATGAAATATAATTCATAGAACAATTTCAATATAGATAAAAACAAAATATCAAAATAAGGGAAAAGTACATAGTACAAGTGGCGGCGCCAGCGTGGGGGTGGTTAAGTAGGGGCTTAAGCCCCCCACAGGACAGGTCAAACCCCCCCCCTCCCAGCTGACAGAGCTCGTCGGGCAGTCGGACTAAAAAATATATAAAAATAGGTCCACGCCAAGCCAACACATGTCTGTCAAAATCAGAGGGTGTCATTTCTGGCCACCCAGAGTTTTCTATTATTTAAAAAAATCTCATTTGGGAGGGGAAACACCCTCTCAAACCCTTTCCACAGCTGGGCCTACGAGCCCAAGTCCCCCTGTCTGAAAGCTCAGCCCCATCCCCCCACCAGAAAATATATTCTAGAGCCGCCACTGCATATTACGCTATGAAAAAGTTTTCCTTGGAAAGAAGAATATGAAGAATGGAAAATACTGTATAAGCGGAAATATTACAAAAAATGATGAATTATGTAGTTGGAACTGTGCTTTCATTTTTTAACTTTAGGATGTGTAACTGAAAAAATGGCCTGACGTTCTGGATGCCGCGTTGATTAATTTTGAGTTAATGTAAGGTGGAGCCAAACGATAACAGTAAAAACATTACCATGAGCCACAGACCTCTTTGTTACGCCACTAAACGTAAACATATATAAAGCTTAGAAAAATAGAAAATTGACAATATTCCGGTAAGCTTATCAGTTAACTTAACATTCTTCATCATTAAAGTTAATTTTAGTTTCCATGATGAACCGTTCTTCCTCCTCTTCGTCCTTGTCTTGTAATCCAGTGTATGTAGACGAATACTGCAACCCCCCACACATATATTTCATGATTGCTTTGCTTATAAACATTTGGATAGCCACCACAATGGTTCCGAGAATGCAGTGCCAAGCGAAGACCATTGTAAAGAATTTGATGTTCAGATGATCATCCTCATCCCACGCGTAATCTTTACTACGTAGAGGATGGTACAACGTTGAACCAATCTGCAACATCCACGAGCCTTGAACAAACGTGGCCCAAGTGCGTAACCATGGAAGCACCTCGTCAGCCGGGAGCCACATTTCGCCTGCACTGAATAGAATGCACATAAACACAATCGTCACCTCTAACAAGTGCATCTGAACATTCAGTTCTGTTCGTCCGTGGAGATGAAAATAAAACAGCAAACATTCAATAAAGTAAGCGAACGTTAAGAACACCTGAGCCCATCTTTCGGAGCCTTTAAAGCAGGTTGCCACGGCAATTTTGGCAGCTCCATAGAACGCAAAAGCCGACCACATAGTGCAATGCTGCCAAATACTTGAGTAAATAAAATTACCTTCATTATCAAATATTTTCCACTTCCAAGTTTTATAAACTTGTTCACCGATAAAGCCGGAAAGAGCCAAAAAGACAACTAAAATCCCTTCAAAAGGTACATTCATACACGGCAGTCTAGCTTTCCGACGAGTCCTTCGATAGTTGCGATAGCAGTTATTGAATGTTCGTTGTATTGTCCACCATGTTGCCAATATCATGAATAAAATCCCAGACGCAGCATGTCCGAAAAAACTACCCATATTTATTAATGCACCTAAACAATTTTCAAAACAGTTGAATTCAGCAGAACATTTTAGTCCCAATATGAGCGTTCGATCGTAAGACACGGTAGTCTGATATCGCACACAGTGAATCAGACCGTAGCTACAGATCCACAGTACATTATACAATAGTATCTATGACGCGAACTCTCAATCGATGGGAATTAAAGAGTGCCGAATCAGGGACACGATATTTTTTCACATTGTGTATGATTGATTGATTGATTCTAGGCATCCAAACCACAAGCATAGAGATTATAGAGACAGTATTATGCGCTATATATCAAATAAATAAATAAATAAATATAATTAAAGAAATAAAATAATAATATAATGATAATAATAACTAAATTTTAGAAGTTCAGCGATGTGAAACTCATCATCATCATCATCATCATCATCATCATTTTATTATTATTATTATTATTATTATTATTATTATTATTATTATTATTATTATTATTATTATTTGTATTATTACTGTAAAGAGAAATAATAATTTTCATTGAAAATAGATTTGTCCTTCCATTGGAGTGAATTATTCTGAAATCTGCCGAATTTCCTTCCTTTAAGTTTTCGGTTTAAACAAACCGGACTATTAAGATTTAATAATAATGCAGTTGGAAGATAAGGAAATCAATAAATCGATTTAATCTAGACCGGATCTACTTCAAGGGCGGTTCCCATTATCGATGGTTATGTGAAAGCAAACACCTAAGCTATAGTTTAGTCAGACCTCTGTATATGAATAGCTTTATAAATTATCTATAATCTATACAATGAAGAAAATAGCCTTGAAATAATTCAAAGAAGGATACATTTTTTCATGAATTGGAAAAGATTTGGAAAACATTCCTCTAGCGCCCTCTGATAGTGAAGCAGATCATAAATAATGTAGATTGTGGTGGTTGAGTACATGTTCAGAAACTAGTCGTGCTTATTGTAACTTTAAAAAATATTGGCGCCAATAGAACAATCATCTATTTTCAACTAAGCCCTATTGATGAAGTGTATTCACACGTCATTCAAATCGTGTACAAAATAGTTAACAACTTTAAAGAATCAAACAATAACGTGCGTGACGACCTTACAATTGCTTTAGAAGTAATTTTGAAGAGTAAAGCCTGAATAAAGAAAATAACATTGAAGTCATTCAAAAGATACAAAGCGGTTCATCTTGTTTTGAAAACAAAAATTATCTTCTTGCAGCTGTCTCTTATACACATCTAGATGTGTATAAGAGACAGCGCCAAGCCAACACATGTCTGTCAAAATCAGAGGGTGTCATTTCTGGCCACCCAGAGGTTTCTATTATTTAAAAAAATCTCATTTGGGAGGGGAAACACCCTCTCAAACCCTTTCCACAGCTGGGCCTACGAGCCCAAGTCCCCCTGTCTGAAAGCTCAGCCCCATCCCCCCACCAGAAAATATATTCTAGAGCCGCCACTGCATATTACGCTATGAAAAAGTTTTCCTTGGAAAGAAGAATATGAAGAATGGAAAATACTGTATAAGCGGAAATATTACAAAAAATGATGAATTATGTAGTTGGAACTGTGCTTTCATTTTTTAACTTTAGGATGTGTAACTGAAAAAATGGCCTGACGTTCTGGATGCCGCGTTGATTAATTTTGAGTTAATGTAAGGTGGAGCCAAACGATAACAGTAAAAACATTACCATGAGCCACAGACCTCTTTGTTACGCCACTAAACGTAAACATATATAAAGCTTAGAAAAATAGAAAATTGACAATATTCCGGTAAGCTTATCAGTTAACTTAACATTCTTCATCATTAAAGTTAATTTTAGTTTCCATGATGAACCGTTCTTCCTCCTCTTCGTCCTTGTCAGACTAAAATATAACAATTGTATATTGCAGTAACAGCAAATTAAAATCGAATTATGGTGTTTAAAGGAGTCGATTATTAAATTTTGTTACAGTAGCAGATATTTTATACAAAAACTTGTGATGATTGAGTATAGAAAAAATTTAAAAAAAAAACATATAAACAACAAATACTTTATTTATATAAAAGCAATATATCCCTAATACATCCTCGACTAGATACATATCGGTATTCATTTTCATCAATATTCTGGCTCCCAAACCTAGACAATGAAATAGCCGTTGGGAGGGTTAATATTATGTAAATCAACTGCTCTCTATGATATTCCTGGGATGTTTTAATTTATAGATAATTCATGAATGTCTGCTGTATCTATAGATAAGTCATATTCCAATCTTCACTGGTAGGCCTATAATCTCGGAATCTTGCCAGTACATTCCCATCCTCCTTGGGTTGCATACGTTGCTGTACAAAAATCCGTCTACCACTTTCAAAATAAACGCTCATATTTAAAATGCTGTCACTGTTTATTTTGAACGTCAGCAATACTTTCAAATTTGAAAAAGATGATTAAAAAAAGTCTGAGAGCTATTTTCAAGTTCAGCTCCGAATATAGCGGAACTGAGGTGGGCGTGGCTCTTCTGGTACTTGGCCCCTCAAATAATTTTAATTCTCCTCCCCCCTTATCAATCATTCTAGCTACGGAGCTGGCCGGCGCTGCCCACCTTAGTCCTCATTAGCTCCAGTGTAGTAGGGAAATAAAAAAATATCCCTATTATTGTAGTAAATGATCGGTAATGTGAAAGAAATAAGCCTCAGACCTGGCGCACACACAGTCTCATCTATGAATATCGAATGTTGTGCGTACGTACAGTACGGTAATAATTAAATCAATAATTAAATAATTTACAATCATGGAACTCTTTCATTTCATTATCCATATCAAGGTAGCAACTGAAAAAAACTGTAATTTATTACAGTATTATTTGGTATAATCAGGGACGAGTGTAATTAATTAACTCTTCTCACGTCCAAGAAAATGCTTGCAGTAGGGAATAGAACAACATGCCTATTTTAAGACCTATTTTAAAACAGGAATTCACCGGATGTTCATGATTATATAATCGTTACACTTTGTTGGTGGAACATTTTTAAAACTGCAGAAGAGGACACCATTGATTTAAGATTTAAAATGTTCATGGGTACTTTATAGAATTTTATAAAATAGAAAATTAAAAAATAGATAAATAAAAAGTACTCCATATAATAATATACATTAAGAGGTTTTAGCACATATTTATCTAAATTTTTAAACTTATATTATGATATGATTATGATGATCATTTTTTAACCCTGCAGTAGAATAGGACACCATTATAAAATATACAAGGCATTTTAAAGATTTAAATGTTCACGGGCGCTTTATAGAATTTTAAAAAATTAATAGAAATTTACACACACAAAAAAAAATCAGTACTCCATATAATAACATACATTAAAAGTTTAATAGAAAATCGGGACATTTAAAAACATCAAAATACAATTCAACACATCAAAAACCTACAGTGAAAAAAATGATAACATACTAAGATTTGAAAAAGATTTGAATTAGAAAAATAAAACATTAACACTGAAATACTTTAGGATTTTTAAAAATGAAAAATACAAGACAAGATATAGAATCGACTTCTTTTTCTTAAGGAGTTATCAGTAAAGGTATTTGGAAAAATACCAAAAGATGCTGTTGCTGACAGTTGTTGTGTTTTAAATGCTTTTGTAACACTTCCCACTTACATCATGTACTAAAAGTATAGGATAAACCTATGTTACAGCAAAGAAAATCGAAACAAATTTAATAATTCATGATTTATATGTAATTTCTTTAAAAGAAATTCTTAGAAAATGTTTTTAGAGTACCTGAATAATGGGAATATCATAGTGATACACTATTCAGTATTGATATACGGTTAGAACATCATTACACACATCGTTGAACAATACATATCAAAAATGATTCTATTTTTTTTTTTTATTAATGTATGCTGTTTCATATATGCTTTCAGTGTATGTTACCTTATACTAAATTAAATTACTTTATGAATAAAATCATAATATTGTTGGGGATTTTTTTCAGTCAGAATCTTTGGAAATGTTTCCATCAGTTTTCAACGTCTTGGATTTCTCGGCAAAAATGTCTAACCGACTAACCGACTTAAATGCTGTTCTAATGAAAATAGTAAATACCATGTGTAAAACAAACGTCGTTATTATAGTTAGCATACAATGCCATCCAAAAAGCATAACGACAAACTTAACATTCTGATGGTTGTCTTCGTCCCATTTGTTGATTTCTTTTAACGGAAATAACGTGAAAGCTATCTGAACCAACCAAGTACCATTAAGTAAAGATGCCCAGATTCGGAGCCATTGTATTATCTTGTCTTTTTTCAGCCATATCTCACCAGCACTGAACATGAGACTAAGGAACGTTGCAATAACTGCCATTATATGCATTTTCACATTCATAAGGCTTCGTCCACCATGATGGATTTGAGTACCATTTTGCGACTGACCAGTTTCTGACGTAATGACGTGATGAGCTCCGAGATGGAAATAGAACAAAGTGTACTGAATGAAGTACGTAAAGGTTCGAAAAACTGGAACCCAGGTAATGGCGTCTTTCATGTAATCCTTTGAGGACCTTTACGAATCCGTATATCCAGAAAGTTGTCCAGATAGTGCAATGTATCCAGACGTTAGTATAGACAAACTTTCCATTCACGAACATCTTCCATTTCCAATGCGGGTGTACGTTTTCGCCAATGAAACCTCCAGTAGTGAAGATCATGATCGCTGCGCCTTCTAATGGGAAATTCAATATCAGCCTGAAGAAGGGTTTAATTAGCCACATGTTCTGACGAGTTAGATTTCTCGTTGCTACAAGGTGGTACGATTGCTGGAAAATCCAAAAAATACTCAAAGCAATGAACATGCTTCCCGAAGATATATGTCCTAGAAAAGTACCCATGCTTATTACGTTTAAGTCTGAAAATATAATAGAGAATTATAACAATGTGCAGGCTGCCCTGTTGTTCGCTGCTAAGACTTCACTTAAGTGTTGTCGACGTGATAATTGCTACTGCTAGTGACGTCATTCATTTTCTTTTGGCAGTAATTGAAATCTGTAGTGATAGTACCAGGGAACAGTCACTGATATTACAGTTCTCAGCTAGTTCCGTGAGCCCAGCTTATCCAAATACCCGCTCGAAAACTTACAGCGGCGGTGTTTATACCATTCTACA